ATTTCCATTACCTATATACAAACAATATCAGAATTTGATGAGGTGTAATTTAACAGAATATTGTGTGATATTGAAGAATGACGATGATGTATACGGAAATGAAAGAAGTCGCTATGAATTATAATGATACGCATGAGAAGATTGATAACTAAACATTAATTCCTTGAGTATTTTTACAATTCATGAACAACTGTTCGCATCATGCAGGACTTGATGTAAAGATATATATATATATCAGCAGTTACCGTCGTAAATAAATCTCAGCTTTTGATGAACGAAAATTGTCAACGAATTATTAGGAGACTCAAAACTGATTTTCTGATACATTCATGTGGAATTATTAGAGAATGATTGAACACAGTATGGCGTTCAGCCTAGCTCTGAGATAAATGCAAACGACTGATATGAGGTATATAAGTGGAACTGAGTGGAATAATGAAATACCTACGATGAGCCTTTATTGTAGCTGTAACAATCGAGTCGAATATTCCTAAAATTCATGCAATTTAAGCTTGAAAAGGATTATTTCAAACAACAAATTTATCATTCTAGAAGATTTTAAAAAAGCGACAATACTGACGTAAGTCGAAGAACTCAAACGAGAGCATAATGATACTTTAGTATACTTATAATACGATTGTACAACGATATCTTAAAATGAAATTCTAAATTTAAATCAAATATGTCAACAATATGCACGGAAACGTGAGCATTGTGGCCAGCAACGTTGCAAACGTTTGATAGCCTGGCCAACCCAGGTAACGTCAACAAAGGACGCTTCTTGAAGCATCCTTTTAGGATTTCTTGAAACAATATTCATACACATCGTTTTTTCGTTTGAGTGAAAAATTTCGAATGAATGAATCAAGAACTGGAAAGAAACTGGAAATGAGTTAAAAACTTCAAAGATTTTTTGGAGTTTTAAGAAATGAATACCGATTTTTGTTTTGTCCACAAAGCTGCTGCATTGACAACTCAAACGGCTTCCATGTTGGATTGAGTGTTCTCGAAATGGTTTCAGTTCGATGTACAAGTTGGGAACTGAAAACAGTACCGATTCAACATTGAGTGCGATTGAAACAGAAATTGAATGTCATGCATGATTTGGATATTTAACCATGAAAACAATATGTGATATTAAAAATTGAGAATGAAATGAATCGAAAGATGCACTCACGTCCCATCATCATTGATGCGATATATCTGCAGAAATGGGTCACTTTTACCGAGAAATTGCTTTTTGTCTACCTTTACCGCTCTTATTGCAAACACAACTGCTTCATTCCGATCGCTGTCTGCTTCTTCTGCTACAACTGTTAAGTCACCGTTGTGAGTGTTTCCCTCTTTCCCACTAAACACATCGTTTTGAATCATTTATAACTTGGTAACAAATTTCAGGACACGTCATTAAAATTTGATGATAAGCGTCAAGATTTAATGACACTCAAAAATCAACACATGTATCAATTAAAATATCTACTCTCGCAGTTTCACAAACAGGACAATAACAGTGGATCGTCCAAATTAATGATAAATGAGGAAGGTACCTTAGAACGAAAGTTTTTCTTGAAGATGGCGATGCAACAATTTCAGCGAGTGTTGTTTCAACGAAACCGATAAAATCATGTTCTTTTAAATCATTCGACACCGAATCTATATCATATCTGAAAACTTTGACAATCTGACATGAGCATCAGCGAAATTTCCATTCTCATCAATGACTACAACTCACTCCGTCTTTCTCTCTCTGAATAATGTTTTAATATCTACTTATCAGATATTGATACTTGAAAAAAGACTATTCGAAATTTAATTTTACGGTAATTTTTCATTCAGTTTTACGTACAAGTGAAACCGGCTGATTAAAAAAGAAATGTGAAAAAAAGTTACACTTCAAATTTCACTTTTTGCAATTCTTCAAAGAAATAATCAACACAAATCGTTTTACTCCATTCTGGATTCAAGCAGTTCATCAACGTTTCCGTACGACCGCATTCGTAATAACAGTCATCTCGGAGGGCACCTTCAACAATGTTTTCCGTTTACGACAGCATAAACGCTGGATATAGTCAATCAGTTTGGTGTTTGATTGGATTTCACCAAATACTACAAGTGTGCTTGGAATGCCGTAAACGATAAATGAAGATACTTTAATTCATCGAATTGATACAATAAAAGTTGATGAATGAGATGTTCCCGCCGTTTCGATTCACTTTTTGCTCTACGAATACTATGAACGGGTTTTTTTTGAGTGAGTTCGATTGAAAACTATGAAAACTGGTTGCTATTAATGGATTATTGACGCCTGAACGAAATACGAGGGAATTGCTAACTGTCTGGTTCGGTGGAATTCAACTGTTCTTATTGAGAATTTTTTTTCGTCGTAGCCGGAAAAGTATTTGGTTGGGAGCACTTTATCTAATGCAAGCAAAACTGACTGAGAGATGAACTTTTGGTGAATGCGAAGGCTCACCTGATGATAAGAAAACAACACACATTGGATCGCTTTTCGAGAACACATCACAATTCTTCAGATTTCTGCAACTGATAACAATCATAGAAACAAGTTTAAGTGCTAGTCAGTTTGATCCCTAAGAACTGATAATCGACGGAAATGAGGCATTGAATTCGTTACAATTGTTGAGCCAGTCATGACTGTACGTGCAAGTTCAACTCATTTATATGCAATGACAACGTCATCTCAACAATGTACACGCTCCACGCTCTATATAAATGAATCGCAAGCATTTCATGATGAAAACTGAATGCAAATTTACGAATGTAAACAGCGAAATGATATCATTTCATCACACTTTTTTTTGTCAGTAAACTTAACGCATTACAAACAGCGTTATCATTTGAATCAGGAAAGTACACTTCAGCTGCTAATTCACTCACCTCGCTGATAACGTGAGACGTACTTTCGAGCACAAACTATCTGTGGGACTTGCCATTGGTGATGGGCGTGTTGGCGCGGTGTGGGATGTGAATCGAACGTGTTCGATGTTCTCTTCAAGTCGACGAAGATATTTATCTGAAATTTTGAATATGCACGTGAAGGCAACAATCAATTAAAAATCTAGTCACTAAAAGCATTGCAATTAAAAGCATTATATAGTTTTGATAGTGATAAGGCGAAACTGTTTATACGCTTCGCTGTTTGCATTTGTAGTCGAATAATGTGACTCATCATTATTGATTTCATCACAAAGCAGTCTCATCTCTTGTCATTGTCATTATTGATTACAACATGTAAACTTAGGTTATGCTGTCATTAGTTAGGTATGTCACCGTTCTCTTCATCATTTCCTTTGCTTACTCATACGGCCGGCCTATTGACATAAGTAAGCTTTTTACTCATAGAGCCTCCTTCTAACAAAAAAAAAAGAGTTCCCGTAGGCGGGATTCCGTTATTTACGTATTTCCTGTTATCTTCGTTCACCACAAATTACCCATTTTATCAAAACGGAAGAAATTTTATGCTGTTTGGATTTTGGATGAGTAGTTTCCTGTTTGAATTTGCTATTTTTAGACGAGCAATTAGTAAAAGTTTTTGTTACTTCTAACGAATTATGTCTACTTCTCATGAATTCACATTGTTCTCAAATGGCTTCTGGTTTATANTTCTTACATATGACAAATTGCAAACTTCATCATTACAAGTGAAATATGCAAAGAGTTTTCATTGGTGTTCTAAAAACATTCAGCAGTAATATTTTGTAGCTCATGAAGGTCGTGACTGAATTAAAGGGATATACAATCACAATATCATAATTATTGCAAAAAATCAACGAAAAAATTTCATTAGGTGTTCAGCCAGAAAATATGCTCAATTGAGGAAATTCATTTTTGAGCTTTTGAAAGTTATTTGAAGAATAAAACGTCAGATAAACAGCAAATATTCATGATAGTTGAGTGTTGGACAGGTGGATAATGTAAGGTCACATGAATATGCTGAAAACATTTGCAACTATGAGAACTAATTCAATTTGAGTTGATAACGAAACGGAGGAATAAAGCTACTATCAACTGCAGGGCACCCTGTTAACAGAGGTGTATTTTAGATGCTCACATGCTGAAATTTGAGCAAAACACTGAAGGTGTAAGTCTGAGCCGATAACCATACCCTAATATGAGCGGACAAGACAAAAATACACCCTTGTGCACTGCTATACTCGTACTAGGATTACAGATAGACCACCGGTTGTGTGTTACAGAAAGACCACTGATGATGTATTGATCTCGTGGTGGTGTAGCTACTGTGTTGCAGCGTTCACGGGTGTCTCATAAAGAGCGATACAATCGGGAGCATCATGAAGAGTAGCATTTCACTGAACAGTTTGACCTGAGTTCAGCGATTACGTAACCCCTTGAAAGAACGTATGACAAAAGCAGTCAGATTTGAAAATATGAAATAGCAAATCACTGTCTCATCACTATCATACGGTAATCAAACAGTGATTGTTCATTACCGCGTTGTAATACAAAAAAAAACCGTACTAAACGATTTCTGAAATCAAGTCCGAGCTCAGAAAGCACCACCTAGCAAAGGAACAACCGCCTTTTCGAGTCTATTCCATATAAATGAATAAAGTTCAAATGTGTCATTTAAAATGGATTTTCTGTTTGCATAGGGTGATGCAAAAGCACGACCATCGTGGTTTTTTGAAATATCAGACGATTGTTGTTGATTCAAACGTTGATTGATCAGACGATTGATCAGACGTTCATGTTGATTCAAAACCACTCCATACAAAATTTCAGACAAAAATACACATAACTGGTTGCAACCTCTGCGTTCGCAGTAATTTTAATATAAAGATTGTTTTCATAATAAAATTGAATCACATTTCCCTTGCACATCTAAAATCGAAGGGAAAAATGCAAAAAACGGACGAAAAGAAGGAACGATCGGAATGAAAAATAAAAAACATCTTTTTCATAGTATTGCAAAAACATTCCACTGAGAATTTTGTTTCACTGTTATCTCAAACTGTTTGCAAAATTTAAAAGTTTGTACGAATTTTTGCAATTAAATTGTTCGTTATTTCTCGAAACTCACATGCATGTACACTCAAAGTAGGTGTGTCTGAAGAATGTTTTCATGAATGTTGAAGANTGACAACTAGCTAAAGCGCACAACAGTATAAATCGTTGGCTTAGGATGGCTTAAGATGCATGATGAATTTATGGTGGAATTTAGGGAACAGAAAACTGAAGTTGAACGAGATAATTCTTGTAAAAATTTTTGGATATTCTCCTGGGTTTTTTTCGAAAACATTAATTTATAAAATACACTGAATTTTACCTTCCGAACTGCAATCGATAACTTCAAGAAAGATGAAAAACATGCGCTGATGAACTGAAGTGGTTGCCATGATGGAGCAAAGAAATGGCAGCGGGTTAACGAGAGAAGATTCATATTTATGTTAGGCTCATAAAATTAAGCATTGGACATAAATAAGATTTGATCTGAAAAAATCATATACATAAAACCTAACAGAATTAAATCAAAGCACGTACCTAATGTAATGCCATTGAACATATATAAGTATCGAGCAGAGATGGTAATTACATGGGTAGTTGATGAATTAAACAACTATACATGAGAAATTTTATCAGAAATGGTTTCTGCGCGCATTTGTGCAGGATTGTCGCAATTGATTGGAGATACGCTGCAAATCCGTTCCTTCATTTGATCGCTTTCTTCGTTTAGTTGTTTTTTTCGTTCGCCCTGATTGTGAGTTTCACTGGGGGCTGGGCCCTCAAACCCCTTTTCCTTCACTTCAGAGTTCGACTGAATGCTGCTTCACCAGCCTTAATCACTCGACCGGCTGGGGCTGGTTCATCACCAACTGGACGGTCCACACTCTTCCCTGAAGAGGTTGAGGGCCTAGCCGTCCGTTATCACCTCGGGGGTGGGGGTCGGTTCATGGCGGGTGATGAACCACCCGGGAGGGTGAATGAGATTGGCGAACCGGCTGAAGTAGCAACCAGCCGAATGCGGGGAGGCTTTTAGCGGGGTTCCAAAAAATAGAATTTTTCAATGTGTTTTTTTCCTCATTTACACCGTATCACGTTTTATTAATTGTTGATGTATTAATTGCGTGGATATTGTCATTTCGCGTGATGTTTGCTGTCATGTATCAAGTTCGCGTTTCGCATGTATATGATGTAACATGCACACTCATTCACATTTCGTTCATATCGCATTATTTTTTCATATTTGTCATTGTCATGCTCTGTTTCACTGTTGCTTCATTCTTTGGTCCTTACAGCATGTAAATGTTGTGTTTCATTGTTATAACGTTGTCTCACCTAAATCTTGTTGCACTTCATCTTGCACTACACTGCATCTAATCTAGCCTAGTTTTGGGAGCGCTATCGAAGAACGATAGCGCACTATAGCTATTCCGCTATCGAAAAGAAGTCCGCTATTCCGCTGTCGCTACCGCTATTTCCCTGCGAATCGATAGCGGAGCGCTATCGCTATCGCTGTTGTCTACTCTAAAAACCTCATTAGGCCATTGAATTATTGAAAATTTTCATTGATGAACATGCATTTTTGAAATGAATATGAAAAACATTATGAAAATAGAACCCACCTCCACATCTAAACCAAAAACTACAGAATCAACCACAACATCTCAACCCATTACTGCAGAAACCAACTCTACATCTGAACCGACAACTATTCCGTTAATAGCGGAATAACGCGCTATTGCCCTAACACTGAATCTAGCCATTGAGTACCTGGCTTATCAGCATAATTCAATGCGGGTCCTGAGCCCGGTCAATGGAGAGGGATGCAGTTTCCTTTTACAACTTGTTGCATTATATTTAATCTAGTCACTGAGCTGGTTCAATTGGTGAGATAGCAGCTGAACAAACCAAATTAGCGCCGGTCTCAGGATGTATCACGTCGAGGATGTCACCACTGATAAATCCTTTCAATGAATATCACGTGTTTTGCTTTCTATGGTCTCTCACCTCAATTGAATATGATCGGCCGGATGTACTCGATCCATTGAGGAGCCCCATTACTCCCCTCTGCAATGGCCTGGCATGCCGTCATTACCCCCTCCTCCCCATATATGAACTTGCTATTTCCATGAATGGTTGAAAACAACAACACGCCTAAGCGTTTCATTCATAACTATGAAAACAATCATTTTCAATGTAAAGTTGTTTTGAATCATTGTAATGTTGTAACAGCTTACATTAGATCAAAAAGAATGGGTGGTGTTTGTTGTTATAGTGGCACCAGGCTGAGGATTTAGTGGTGGAGACGGTGGAAGTAGCGGATATCAGCGGGAGGATTGCGCTTATGAAGACGGCCGTGGAGGAGGAAGTTCGTGATATTCTATTAAAATTGGATGGATTTTTATTTTTACTTGAGTCTACGGTTCGATGAAATTCTGCGACAGCTGAGATCGGATACGATGTAATCGATGCAGGTCATTAGCCTCAATCAACCATCATTAGCCGAATGAAATGAAAATTTTTGATCAAGATGGAACTTTCGAACGCTGTAATTAATAAGACTTTTTATAATTCTATAGCAACAAATTACGTTGAGGTCGGTCCGTTTCATGTTCTTCCAGGCGGATATTACGGATCCTTATAATCCATCATATACATTGAATCAACATTTGTATCATCAATTTCAATATTCAAGTGCTTATTCGTGCTGTATTTGCTTGACAAATTATAGCGGATAGTCGTTGTGATTTGAATTATATGTTGGCACGAAATAAAATTGTACATGCATGCTGGGTAGCAAATGTCTGTTTAATAGCAATAAATTTCAGGAGCTGCAACCTGCAGTTCAAGGCTCATGCATGACAGGTGCAAAGATGTATGTGAAGAAATGAAATTCGTTCAGCCATTTAAATTTTCAATTGTGTTAGACATTCTCACCATGCGCACACATTTCATCACAATATTCTCACAATCACCATCTGAAGATAGTCCTTAGTATAACAGTCAAATTCCACTGATCAACTTCTCACAACATCACTGTCAGTAAACGAATTTATCCGAAAATAACTATTTAAAATAATCATTTCAGAAAGATTCCACAAGTAGCTATTCCCCACATCTAAAGATGTACGAACAACGACAGTGAAACTCCATCCAACACATTCTAACGAGCTAACTCGATCAAATATACTTACTCAAAACAACCAGTCGAGAAGGACGTCAAAAGTTAGCCACGATAATTAGCCCGAGTTATCTCCATGACAGCAGAAAAATATATACTTCGAGTAACAGTTTGCAACTTACAGGTTATATTCTAAAGTATCATTGATAGTTTTAACAGCAAAGCGAGAACAAACATAATAGCAAACAAATTTCAGAAGCTGGAACCTACAGTTCAGGGCTCATGCATGAGCAACTAATATTTCGAGTATTTCTCATCTAATCTTCACATTTGACTTATCATTATTCCACTCAGTTTCATGCTTTCAAATCAGCAAAAATTTAATAAACTCATTTCCCATCGCCAGATTCAGTCTGTGCGAGAAATGGATTTTTGTGAAAATGGATTTGTTTCCTGAGAAGGAAACTTTCAATCAGAATCCACTTTTATTACACAAAATATAAAAAACTTATTCGAGAAGTCATATAACCGAAACGGCTGAATTTATTTGCGAGTCAGCGACGTCGATGAGGAATTAATGGCATGTTGGGTGGGTTCATTTTCTCTGAGGCTTACGGTACCTCGCTGCTATGTAATTTTGTGCGAGTGCTTGCGTTTATTTAATGATAGCAAAAAAGAACAAAAATAGTATTATTACA